CAAACCAAAAACTCTCTAGGTCTGACTTAAGTCATCAACAGACAATCTTGTAACCATATCTATTTCTTAAATCTGAACTTGAATGCTACAGAAGTGGTAAATTCCTACAACGTTCCCATTTAACAGTCCAGTTGACGTAGAAGATGGACAAGTCTTGGAGAGTGACAATGGTTTATCATAAATTTAATAAGTGGTGACTTCAATACAGCAAACCCACACAGCCTCTGGAGGAAAATGCTTTTTTCTCATTCTCAATAAGAAAATAACTCCAAAAGCTGTTTTCTCTCATTTTGGCAAGGATGACTTCCCACCTTGCTTCAGAGTTATGTCAACTCTGGCTCCACACCACAATTTAATCTGTAGAAATCTTAACCACTTCAATGTTCTTTAGGACATCACAGTGACTACTACATTGATGATATCATGCTATGAGGACCTAAAGAGCAGGAGTAGTAGTTATCCTGCATACGTTAATAAGAAACATACAAATTGTAGCATGGGAAATAAATCTCATGAATCGACAGGGGCCTCTGACTTTAGGGAAGCGTCTTAGGAGGGTTAGTGATCTAGGTTGAGCTATCTCCTCCAAAGTGAAGGATGAGTTGCTGCATTTTACACCACCTCCTAAAGGAAAGAGAGATACAATGCTTGGAGGTCCTCTTTACGGAAGCAACATTTGTCACATTCGGGTGTGCTTCTCTGACCCATTTACTGGGTGACTCAAAAAGATGCTAATTTTGAGGAGGGGCCCAGAGATAGAGGACACTCTCCAACTGGCTCAGGCTGCAGTGTCATCTGTTCTGTCCACCTAGGACTCAGGAGATCCAATGGTGTTCCCAGAGTCAATGGCAGACTGGAGAGGTGTATGGTGCCTGTGACAAGCCCTGTTAGGAGAATCACAGGGTCAATTGTTAGTGTTTTGGAGCAAATACATGCCCTCTTTGTCAAATAACTATTTTCCTTTCGAGAAAAAGACTTGGCTTTCTCCTGGGCCATGGAAGAGACTGAAAGCCTGATCGAGGAAATCAGATTACCACACAGTCTGAGCTGTTCATCTTGAGCTGGATGTTATTTTGATCCATTGAGCCACCAAGCCAGGTTCACCAAAGGACCCAGCTACACTGGAGACTCTTAATATTCAGAAGGACAGGTTAACCTGCCTCATGGATGTAAGTCAACTTCTCTCCCCAGCTAGTCCACTACTTATTCAATGGGTTCATGGACACAGTGACTGTGCAGGCAGAGACTGAGACTATCCATGCTTTTAACAATCTAGACTTCTCCTTCCAAGGCTGACCTAGCTTCTTACCAGCATCACTAACCAACTATGAGTCTTTCAAAAGGCACCAAATTCAGGAGAGGTCCTAGACGGCCACCTGGAAGCAGACTATATAGACTGGACTTCTTTAATCATGGAGAGAATCAGTGATTTGTCCTCACTGGAATAGACATGTTTCTGAACCTGAATTTACTTTCTTTGCCCACCATGTGTGCACTATCATCCTTGGACTTTCTGAATGCCTTGTTCATCATCACAGTATCCCACACAGTATCACTTCTGACCAAGGACCTCACTTTACACCAAAAGAAGAAATGTGGTGGGCTAATTTCTGTCCCTCAGTAGCAGCTGGCCTTATAGAATGGTGGAATGCCCAATTGCAGACTTGGTTATAGCGCCTGATGGAAGACGCAACTGTAAAGATGGTATGACTGTCCTATAGTACATAGAATATCTTCTGAACTCAAGGCCAATATATGGTGGTGTTTCTCCTGCAGCCAGGATACACGGCTACAGGATCCAAGAGGATGGCATCTCTCACCAATAGACCCAATGACCCACTTGCAAGTTGTTATTTCTGTTCCCTTCACCTCTGGGCACTGCTAGTTTGAAGGTCTTACTTAGCGGCCAATGAGGAATTCTCCCACCAGGGGACTCAAGCACAGTTCCCTTGAGATTGAAACTGAGACACTGACTATGTCAGACTCCTTATGCCAGTGGGTGAAATTGCCAAAATGAGTATTATAGAGTTGGCTGTGATGATAGTGACCATCAAGGGTACATAAGTTGCTATTATATGATAGGCAGAAGGAGGTCAATAGATAGAATCCAGCCATGGTGGTGCCTCTTGTTACTGGCATGTCTGTGGAAAACTATTTTTTGTTAAAAAAATTCACATGCTCGGATCCCTCAGACATGAAATTTACCCCCTGATTAGCTGAGATGCTTGATAAAGGGAAAGGGGGATTTTGTAATGTGCATTCAAGAGAGGAGTCATAAATTGTTATAATTATATACCAATTATAGCCTTGTGGCCAGTTGCAAAAATAAGACCTCTAACTTTTACTTATATTTTCTTCCTTGCTGTGTCATATGTTTATGTGTCTCTACTTTAACTAATTGCCCTTTACTTTTAATTTTCTTCTATTTTATATAAGATAAATTAGTGATCGATATCTCAACAATTTAATCTGTGAGATCAGAATATTGACCTAGGATTGTGACAGAATTAAAGGAGGAACAACTATCACCCAGAGATCCTGGACTTTGAGCTGGACACGGAAAATAATCCTTCAGTGTAACCCCTTTGGGGAGAGAGTGAAGGTATTTTTCAGTTGTACAAGGGATGTTGCATTATATTAAGTGGGAGCATTTTTATTTTATATAGTATTTACTTTCAGAATTGTAGGAATATTAAGAAGCATATTTGATGCCGGGTAGTCAAAGGGACAGACTATTATAGACATTTGGCATTCTTTTGGGCTGCTTTGGAAGTATGGGAAAGACTGTCAGTCCTTTCCAAATCCATTCTCCCCTTCATCCATAATAATAGGACCTTGACTCTTAGCTATGCATATTGCCACATGGATTAAAAACTACATTTCCCAATCTTGTAACTGTCTTATTAAGGTAACTAAGTTCTACCAACGAAGTGAAAGTAGATGCATTGTGTATTTCTGGGAAGGCTCCATAAACAGGAGAGAACAAGTGTTCTTTAGTCTTCCCCTGTCCCTCCTAATACCAGGCTGGGAGATGGATGCAATGGTTGGAGAGCCAGCAGCCATCTTGGATCACAAGAGGTCTTGCATGGCGGAGGAGAAATATCAGAGCCTGGGCCTCTGATGACAAACTATATTCTTTCAGTATAATAAAATATAAATAGATATTTTTTGAACATCCAGGTAAGCACTAGGAAGACATTGGTAAACAAGGCATAGTTTCTATCCTAAGGAAACTTATAAACCAGTGGAGTGACCGACAGTTATGCAAGGATGGTCTGTAAGCACACAGGTGGTGCACCCAACCCAATCCTGAGTGGATGGTGGGTGGTGTGGTCTGGGAAGACTTTCTGGAGGAAGTAACCTCCTTACAGATGAATAGGATTTCTCCAGTTGTTGGATGGAGGGGTGGAAAGAGTTTTTTTGGCCCAGGGGAGTTCAGAGGTGTTAACACTCATTAACACCTCTTAAGAGACCAGTCAGGGAGGTAAGCCAGGGTAGGAGTTTGGACTTTATCCTCAGAACAACGAGTGGCAAGTGAAAGGAATGTGAGCATGGGAGTGACACGGTCAGATTTATTCTTTAGAAAGATCATTCCAGTTCAGTCATTCTGTGCAGAGTGGATTGAGGGGAACAAGATCAGAGGTGGGGAGACCAATTCCATATTTTCTCTTTAGAAAGTGAGACAGAGAGAGGGAAAGGACAGAGGAATAGAAAAGGGGCTTGACACAAAGGCACACTGGCCCTGACGAAGCGCCTGAAATATACTGGGAGGGTGGAAACACTAAATACTTTGGAGGAAAAGCAAGGCTGGAACCAGGGTCCGCGGCGCCCTTTTTAGGAAAAAGAACAGATCATTAGGCACAAATTTGACTATTAACTTAAGATGAGAAAATAAATCACAAGAAATTACTGGAGTCTTGGAGATTCGGGTCTCTTTTCTTCTGTTTACCTGAACTGCTTACCTAGAAATGCTTCCAGAAGGCAGCCTGGCGTCCCCTCTCTGCCCGGAGCACTAGACAACTCCTGGCACCGCCAGGTAAAGCTAGAGAGGCACCCTGGGACGTAAACTAAGTCAGCTTTACCGCCTCGGAGCAGCGACCAGCTTCAGCAAATGAGGGAGCTCGCTGGCCCGGCGGACAGACCGTCCTACTGGATGGAACGGGAGGCGGTACGCCGGGAGGTGAACGTCACCCTGAAGTCCTGCGGGCTCCGTCCGCTGACCCGCCCCCGAGCCCCTCCCGGCACCAGCTGCACTGCTGAGCGGTGAGGGGCGCGGTATCCCCGCCAGGCGCACCGTGTGGGGCGCACCGTGCGGGTCTCCGGGAGAAAACAGCCCTGCTTACCACCGAGACCAGGTGGCAGCCACAGGGAACCTTCTTTTCCTCACTCTGAGTCTACAAACTTGACCTCAAAAACACAAACCCTGTCTTTGGCATTTCTGCATTTAGAAACAAACATCGCCCCAGCATGAGATGTCCAAGGAAAAACGACGTCCAGTTCATAGCCACAGCATCGTAAAGTTTTCTTTTTCATGAAAAAAACGACTTGCAAAGTTGTTGTTTTTGAAAGAAAATATTAACTTTTGCAAAACAAAAAGTAATCATCAGCAGAAAGCGCGAGGCGCGGAGCTCTGTCCCCAGAGCAGCGGACGCAACGCCACGGGGGCTGGGGGCTCTGGGGGCTTCGGGTTGGGCGGGGTGGGGGTGC